AGGTCACCAAGAGCGGTGGCTCCGATACCATGTTGGAATATTGAAATATTAGAATAATAATATTGCTCATTGAATTATGAAGTATATGATAGAGTATATATAGGAGAGATACTCCTAACACAACTAGGAATAGATAATGGAAACTAATTAACATACAACATCTACCACAAATAGGATTAGGAAGCTGACTAATAATAAAACACTACCATAACCAATACTACTAGAAATACTATTAGTATTATTATCCAACAGACCCTTTATCATGACTCAAACTTCTGAAAAGGTAATTAATTTGAAGAAAAAAAAATCCAAAACACTTAGAGATATTAACTTTTATTACCCTTTTTTACTTTATATCAAGTACCAACAACAACATCGATAAACATGACCGAATTCCTTCTATACAATACATAATTACACAAAATAATGATTAGACACTAAAACAATATCAAAAATGTACACTCATTGAAAGGAAATGTACAATGCCACAAATTCAATCTAACATGCATGGATGCATTTTGTGAATGTCATTCATGCATATACCGGATAATTGCAATGTTTGGATGTCCAACGTGTGTGGACCTTGGTGATGTTTTTATGTTGTTACTTGATTTGCGCGTGAACTTTTATAGTATTACTTGATACGCATCAATACATTGTGTGTATAGCCTTCAATGACGACAATTGATGCAATACACATTATATATGGATTCTTTTAGTTCGTGATCGACTTGAACACCCTAAGCGTTGTGTTTATAACATAATGAATCATTTCGGTTGCTATTTGTCGTGTTGATGTGTAGCCTAACTTAGATGGCATCTCTTGGGGTGGTGCCGTGGTGATGAGAGATCTAACGTACGAGGTATGATAAGCATGGCTAAAAATATGATTAGAAGCATAAAACATAATGTTTTCTTTTGGAGCACAATGGTTTGGGTGCATTGATCTTAGTTGGCCCTATTGCTTGGGGTATGCAGTCACTGATCAATGGACTAATGGGTTTTGGCCATTAACCTAACATTACTTTTGACAATATTAATTGAGGCATAACAGTTACTAGAGCACTTATAGCTCCTCTGAATTGCTTTAATCTTCTTGGACTGGATTTATTATTCTCATCAGTTAATAAACTAGGACATGTTTAAGTACCTAATTTTATAACCATAAAGCAGAAGCCACTAACCCACTATGGTTCACACATTCCTATTTATGCAAGATTTTTTGTTTCATACAGTGTGAGCCATTGATATCCCAAGATGACAACAGAGAGACAGAAAATTTCTGTTCCTTTTATCTGGGAAGAAAGACCTGGCATACCCAACAAAGATTGGAAACCCAGAGATCATAAACCCTCAAATACCCTAAAGTTTGTTCCTACTATCAAGCTCATACCTTCGATCCCCTTCAACTGGGAGGATAAACCGGGAAGACCGCTTCCTAGATTCCTGCTTCCGTTTCCACCACAGTTTATGGGTGATTCCGGATTCATCACAAGAAAGCCAGGAGCAACACTAGGAGAGCTGATGATGATGAGCCAAAGAAGAAGCTGCCCTGGAAAAGCTAAGCAAAAGCAGAAACAGAGTATGACTAGGGTAATCCAATGTTACATTTTTCATGCATCTCATAGTTTCGGCACTAGAAAATTTAGGACAGGCAATCAAACCAATACAAATGCTCTATGATGATCATATCTCAAGCATGAGTCGCCAATAAATTATATAATGGATTGGTTTTGTCATTACCATCTTTTGTGACAGGAGCAGAAATTCATAGGGAGTGCTCACGGATGCTGCATGTTTGGAGGGGGGGAAAACATTGGAGATTTGCACACCAACTGGAAGAGGGAATTAAAACTTCTCCCAAAAGTCTGAAACTTGCTTGGCTTTCAATGTTTACAGAACAATAAAGACAACTGATTAGCTGTGCATTGCTAAGGATTCCTATCTATAAAAAAATCCACTGTTGGAGCCGCGACCATTAGGTCATTTTCGCCCCTGATTTCCGACTTTCTTTTTAACTTGCAGAGTTAGCCCTAGTGTTTCTTATCAGTTATCCGCCAAGAATGAACCCTAGCTTGTACATATATTTGGCTGAATAAGTGACAAGGACAAAAATTGGAAAATGAAACACAGAGATCAAAACACACTCCATATTATAGAATAAGAACTTAGGAAACACACTCCAGATTCTATTGCGCAAAGGAAACTATCAAGCTTTTGACAAATTATAAGAATGCCCATTCTGTCTACATTATAAATACAAGAAGAAATGATATAACATAAAAACATGCATGCAAAATATGATTTTCACATAAAACCCTAAAATATTTCAAGCAGGAGGTCTACAGCTTTCAACTACTCTCCTTATCCTTTCTGCAACTAAAGGGATATCCTTCTCGCGTAATGTTGTGAAGCAAAACCTGAACCATCCATGTTCAATACAATGGCAGGCAGACCCGGGAGTCACATTTATCTTAGCCACATTTAACAGTTTTTGCCATAACTCCATCTCCCCCTTTTCATTGTAAGGGTTGATTAACCTACTCATGTTCACCCAACAACAAAAACCCGCATCACTCCTCGAGCATTCAACCCCCACTTCATTTAACCCAGCAGTAAATAATTCATACATTCTTCGCAATCTCTGCGTGTTTTCCTTTTGGTAATCCCGAATGAATCCAGTGTCTGTAAGCATTGAAACTAACAACCTCTGTGTTGGGACTGAAACTGATGAAAACCTGGCTAACCTTCTAGAAGCAGCTAGAACATTCTCGTTGAAGGAATATATTACCCCAACCCTAAAACCAGGAAGACTGAGGTCTTTGGATAATCCATATATGATATGAACCCTGTCCCTGTCAAAATCTTCTGACTCTATCATTTCTGCCATGCTTACAAACTCTTTGTTGCCATGATTAGAGCCAGAAAATATTTCATCTGAGATTATATGGATGTTTTTCTCCCTGGCAAAATCTAAGAGATCGTATAGCAATTCTCTAGTCATGAGGTTGCCAACGGGGTTGGAAGGGTTTGAAATGAGAATTCCTCGGACTTTTTGGCCACGCTTTCTGGCATTATTAAATGCCTGTTCCAGAGCTGTCATGCTCAGCACAAAGTCATCAGAGCTTCGACAGTGTACTGGAATTAACTCCACACCAGTTCTATATCTAATATCCCTGTCAAACCTACAGAATGATAATCTGTTCAGCTTTTATGCTATATATATTTTCACACACAAATGACACAATCAATATTTATATCTTCTTCTTATAGGGTTGCAAACATTCAATAAGATTAGTGGAAAAAATGAAATTGACTAGAAAAGGAGCAGGGAATACCCAGGGTAATAGGGTGTTGGAATGAGGAAAGCATCCCCCTGATCAGCTAAGCAAAAGAAAAGCATCTCAATGGCAGGAGTTGCCCCAGAAGTTAATACCATTTGCAATGGATTGTATGAAACTTCTCTTCCCATTACCTCTGACATGTAACCTGCCATGGCCTGAAAGGATTAAACAATTCATGGTTAGACAGATTCTGTATTCTTGAAATTCCATATTTGGGAAATTGAAACAACTTGAAGATCCAAAATCCTTTGCTAGAAAATAAAAGCACATTATATAGCATTACACTGCAGTGCTACTGACTAGAACACGCTCATCGGATGAATCAAACATGACCAAAATACATTACCACTTTCAGCTCGAACAATCCATCAAACTGCTGGTAGGCAGAAATTCCGCTAATATTCAAACCAAGTTTCCCAAGTGCAGAATCCCGGAAGTTGTTTGAAAGCCACTTCTCTATCAAATCCAGCGACAACTTCCAAAACATAGAACAAAAAAGAGCAGAAAACCATTGAATTTCGATCTGAAAAAAAGAAGAAGCTGAAACTCAAGAAATAGAAGGATGAATGTAATACGATACCCTGTTTTCAGTCAACCCGAGGTTTATAATCCCGTCCGGGTTCTTGATTTCGTCATATGGATCCTCCAGAAACCTATCTAATCCAATATAGTAGGCAGAATCGTTGGGCTTCGAAATAGAGCTACCTCGGGCGGAGAGGCGGGTCCGCCCGATTGACCCGCGACCAGACAAGTTCAGCCGGGAAGATGAGCGTGGGAGTTCAACGAGGTCCGTCGATGAGTCGGACGGCGACGGAGGATTCGAAGAAGATGAAGCCGGGGAGGAACGGTGTCGTTTAATGTAGAACTGGAGGAAGTAGAAGAGAGCACATGGGATTAGAGAGCCGAGGATTAAGCCCCCTCTCCCTTGAACCACCCCTTGTAAGGGCACAACCAGTCTCATGCCTGTGCTCGCCGGAGCCTTTCGGGTCGGGTCGTCGCTGTCGGGGTCCGAGTTGGAGAAGACGGGCCGGGTCATGTGATTCGCCGGGAAATACGACTCCGCGGCCGTGGCGGCGGCGGGGGGAGGCTCCCGGGAATTGGGGAAATGAAATGAAACGGCGGCCCTTTTTGAGTTGTTGATTTTGTTTGCTTGGCAGGCAGGCGGAAGAGATGAGATTCCGCCGAAGGAATCTTGTACTGCGGGAGTGATGAATAGGACAAAATTGTCATTTCCTAATTCAAAATTTGCACCCCCTTCAAATGAAAATAATGCGGAGCAATTATTCTCAAAAAATACTCGTCCGTCCGTTAATTTTATTTCTACTTTTTTTTTGTACGGTCTAAATACTTTTTTTTTCACTTAGTTAGCCAAGATATTTTGGAGTATAATGTAAGAAGAAATACTAAAATATTGGTGTTCAAAAAAAATCTCTATCTATCTCAAATTAATTAATCTCTAAATTATCAAAAATTTTGTTTTGTTTGCATGTTTTAAATTTGCACTTTTTAAAAGATTTGAAATTAGTTGGTTCCTTTAATAAGGTTTACAAATAACAAGTTCCTATTTTTTTATAACATTTTAATTTGTGACTCTAACATATTTGTTTTAGATCAAGTAGTTAAAAGATTAAAATAATCACTTTTTCACCAAAAAAAAGCACATAGACATTCTCTATTCTCTAATACTCCATTAGTCTCTAAATGAATTCTGTATATAGAGATTAATTAATTTGAGATACAATCATGGTACCAACAATAACTTGTTCAAGAAAGCCCATGTGAGCAAGGTTTGTCCACTCTTCCACCATTGCCACAGCTCTGATACCATATTGAGAAATAAACAGAATAATTGTCTTGATCAATTCATAATGGAATACAAAGGAGAGTATTTATAGATGAGAATATAATACAAACCCCGCAAGAAGTAGGAAAAATAATAACAAAACCTGACTAAAACACAAAGGATACTATAATCAATATTGACCATAAATAATTGTCTAATATTTAATTTCAACAAATATAGATTTGTGAATTTGAGATCTTTAAATTTGTAACTCTTGTATTCCCCAATCTAAAAACATCTCAGATGTGCTGATGATGTGCATTTGTTAAAACAAAATCGAAGCGAAATTCGATAAAATATTTTTTGTACCGATTACAAAACCTTATTCAATCCGTTCAGTTTTGTAAAACCTGAAATAAAATCACTGTGGCAAATGGTTAACCAAACACGAAATGTGAATTAAAAAAGAAATATGAAAATGGCATCTCTAAATGGAAACTTCAATTGGAAAAATATCAATTATGAAGGATAAATTTCACCAATGGCACCTGAACTTTAGCTGAAATTTCGAAGTGATACCTAAACTTCAAATCCTTTCACAAAAATCCATGAACTTACACAATCCTTTCACCAATGGTACCGCCAGTACCCGCCACCGTCACCGCCGGCCGGGACGTTCCACCGGTTCCGGGAACCGGTACCAGTACCGCCCCCCACAGTACCGGTTCCGGTACCCATTTTTCGGTACCGACACCGGCGGTACCGGTACCGGTTCCGGTACCTTTTTTTTTTTGTCCAGATTTGCCACCCCACAGCGCAGTCCATCCGTCGCCCTCAAGCAGCCGCTCGATTGTAGGAAGAAGAAGAAGCACTGCCAGTTTCCTAAGGAGAGAAGGAACAAACTAGGAGTAAAACATATGTCATATCCTCAAAATAGGAGTTCAAACTTAAACTCCTCTAAATAGGAGCAATTAACATAATTAATAAAAAAAATGCTCTTCACATGCACTTTTTTTATAAAGATGCATGCAACTATAATGAGCACGATCAAATACCCACCGCATGCTATTATTTTTTTTGCAGTCATATTTTTGAGTTTTTCATTTTTTTATTTTTTTATAAAAAGTTAAAATAAAGATTTTAACTTAAATAATAAAACAAAAAAATGCTCCCCACACGCGCTGCATTTGCGGCCAATACCAATGGTGGCCAAGTTCAAAACTAAAAAAAATCGGCCAATTTCACAACAACATGCTACTGACAACGACGCCCACTACTACAATCGTCGTCGACGGTGATGCCCACCGCCACCATCGTCGCTGCCAAATACCTGCCACTATCACTTGAATCTCCACCACTGTCGTCCTCTGCTCCGCCGCACTGCTACAAACGAAACCTACCGACGACACCACCGACGACATCACCGCTCTATACCATTATCAACAATACTACCATCACAATCTGCACTATCGTCGCCACAGTGCCACATTAACAGTCAATACAGTGTCAAAAAAAGACATAGTAATGTCAAACATGGCACCATGTAATGTCACATATGACAATATATAATGTCACAATGTTACACAATGACATAATGCTAAACCAAATTCAATGACACTGTGTAGTAGAGACTTGAAATGTAACAGTCTTCTACAACTCACTAAAAGCATGCAGCGAATCTTCATCGATGCTTCTCTTTACCTTTTTCATTATAGCAAAAAAAAACTAATCTTCAACATCATTTTCGAATCTTGATTTATCACTGCCCACATCCATCCCCTTTAAACCACTCAAATTCATAGCAAAATGACATATCTTATTGAAATAAATAAATATCAAATCAAATTCAAAGATTATTGAGTCCAAATTATAAACTATTTTAGCAAATTGTAAACTGCACATGCAAAATAAACAGAGCTTTTAATGGAGTACTGTCAATATTTCCTTCTCTTTTCTATCGTCTCATGAAATGTTTTTGTACTCCGGTTACTTGCAGATCTCATGTCTGTGTAATGGAGTTTCCACGTATATATTTATGCTGTAATTAATTAGTCATTTGTAATAATACCTACGGAGTATTTAATTTCAATTACAATAAAAGTAATACTCTCTGGCCTCCATTCATAACTAACCTCCGTTCATAACTAAGTTACATTCATATAATTTTTAAAATGATTACTCCTATTTAGAGGAGTTTAAGTTTGAACTCCTATTTTGAGGATATGATCCATGTTTTACTCCTATTTAGGGGGTTTTCTTTTCCGAAGAGCAAAAAAAAAGAAGCAAAACTACCTTAACTACGACGTTTTAAAAAAGGGTTTAAATAAATTCTTTGACCCAGCCCAATACTCCATAGCCCAATAGCCCAATTTCTCAAAAAAAGAAAACGGAGTACTCATTCATCGCCTCAGGCTCTCTGCTCTCATCTCCATCACTAGCTTATTCCGCAGCAATAGCCAATAGAAGAAGAAATCGGCGAGTCGGCAACTGGAAACCGCAGAAGAAATCGGTGGCCGGTCCGGAACCGTACCGTGTCCACCCCTAATTTTATATATTTTAAAATTTTCATTTTGACTCCATTTCTTTTTTCTTTTCTTTCGCTCCCCGTCGCCGTCGCATCACGTCAAAATCGCCGGAAAATCAACATAGTCAGATTCCGGCGGGACCAACGCCGTTCTCTTCGTCTTGAGATGAAGATCAAGAATATCCAAATCATTTTGTCCAATTTGGCCTGCAACTCCTCGAATTTCAATTTTTCCACTCGAAAAAACCATAAAATTCGAAATTGGGGGTTTTTGCAAATCGCCATAAAATCTTGCAATTGAAAGGTCCTTGGGGGTCGCCGAGATACCACGAACACTTTGGAGGGGATGAGCGACGTCAATTTTGCCGGAGGTGACTGGAAAACATTCCAACCCGCCAGAAAACGCTGCCTCCTTTCGGCGTTAACATTTTCAAGATATCTAATGATAGTCGTTTTTAGTGTTAGTATTTTCACAATTAACATGCACTAGTAAAATTTAACCAAAGCACTAACGCTAATAGAAAAACGTGAATCACAAGCAAAGCCATAGAGATGAAACACATGTTGGGAGAATATATAATGGAGGGAAGGGTGTTTGAAAATGTGGGCGTGCATACAAGAACATGCATATATATTGCATTTGCCTATGTATGGAAAATTTGATGGAAGGGTCTAGATTCATTGTTATTAATCGTAATTGCAAATTGGATCTGTACCAAATTGATTCACCCAATATTTTGGTAATGGGTAGGTGATTTAATTTATTTATACGATTACATATATATTTAGAGAATCTGGGGGCGGATTATTTTCCTTTTAAAATTTGCAGCGCCACCGCCCCCAGGGCGCCTCAAGTACGATGAGGAGGAGTCCTCGTGGCCTGAAAAGGATGGAGGCGCGTACGGAGGAATGACTACGGAGGGGTCGATTGACGAAGACGAGTGGCACGCGCCGCCGTCGTCGTCTTCTTCTGCATCGTGGGAGATCGATTCGGCATACGAGTTCGACGCAAATCAATTCTTCGATTTCAGCCGCCCTGAATCTTCTTCCGACGCCGAACGGGCCGAGCGATGGTTCCAAGTCGCCGGATATTATCCGCCTTCTCGTAAGATTATTTAATACTTCCATATTTATGAACAATTTTGACTTGATAAAATAATGCGATCGAGTATGTATCGAATTAATTAATACTTATAAAATTCTCCATACATCGATCGATCCATCTGCAGATTTTTATTTTAAGGCAAAGGTGAAAACAACTGCAAATGATGAATCTCCATTGGTGGTAAAAGACGACGACGACTTCACTCCCTCTCATCATCATCACCACCTTTCTTCTTCATCAAATCATGAAAAGACGACCAAAGGTGGTATATATACATGTACATAGGGCCTTTTTTTCGAAAAGAAATCTTATGGAGTAGTATTATTTTAGGGTCTATTTGGTGACTTTTGGAGATATGAGTTTTGAAATCTAAAACAAATTTGTTTGGAGAAATTTAAAATCATGATTTAATTAGTGATAATTGGGAGTGATTCGTGGTGACAATGGTAGTCGGGGTGAAGAATGATCAATAGTTGAAAGATAAATCAAACCCTCATATTGATATCTTCCAAATTCGGGAGATATCGAAACCCTCCATTTTGAAGATTTTGATATTTCGAAATATTGAATTCGATATCTCTTTTGGTTTTACTAAACACCAGAAAAAGATTTTGATATCGGGAGTTATCAAAACACATATCATGTTTGATTACCAAACACACTCTTAATTTATCATTATATATTTATATGAACATGCTTTTGATCTTTAATTAGGTGGAAGAAGAAGGTGGAACAATAGTGGTCATCAAGAGAGAATTGAAGAAGACTCTCCTTCAAAAGAACTTAAACCAAAGGAAAAGAGTAAGATAAAATGGGGCGGCGATGATAATAATAGAAATTATAAGGAGAGGAGCAGTGGGGGATCAACGTTGATGAAACAAACTGCAAGTCAGCTCGCCAAACTAAACCATGTCAAACAACAACGTCGTAACCACGAAGCTATCAAAAGGCTGAAATTGGACTATGGTTACTGCGTAACTAAGGTACCTACGCCTGCATGTCTTAGTCTTGCATGTTTTTTCTAGTACGTACTTTTTCTTTGATTCGAATTGATAAACTTTTACTGATCATTTCGTCTCAAATTAATCTAGTTTTATATTTTGTATCTCATTTTTCACAATCATCAATGTGATACTCTCGCCATTGATGAGTATAATTTTATATCTTATCAATTGGTATACAAAAAAATAAAACTTATTGAGAAGCCGTAATAATAACAGAATATCCATTTTAGATATTCATCGGTATACAAACAAACAAAACTTTTCGAGGAGTCGTAATACAAACTTATAATGAAGACATGTAATTCTCTCTAAAGAAGAACAATGGAGCTATTTATGTCAATACATGGACATGCATGCATGCATACAAGCTTAGTGTGAAACTTGGGGAAACCCATCCATCTTCAATTCTTCTACCATGTGATGTTGTAGGGTGGGTCATCTTCCTCTCCTCCTGCAAAAACTTCAAAACGTTCCAAGCTCACCATTACCGTTCCAAAGGAGCCACATCTTGAAACTCAATGCAGAGCACAGTGGCGGAGGTATATATTAAACTAACTAGTCTATATACACGCGCACATTTCCTAAAATTTAAGGTTTGTATGGATCGGGTTTCATTGATTAACTGTATCTACTTTGCATCATATATAGGTTCAAATCGAAGAACAATTTAAGCTCATCAATTTGCTCGAGTGATAATAATGTTACGAAAGAGAAATCGAGTGCTTCAAAAATCCGGCCTTTGAACAAAAAAGTTGGTACTCTTAAATATTCTGTGGAATCCATTGCACCTTTCTTTGCCTTACATAAACTAAATATATATGCTACAATTTTCTTGTGATGTTTATAGATTCAACAAGTGCTCCTTTCAATGCCTCAAATTAAAAGGAGCATTCGCCAATCACCCACCTCCCAAGTGAGTAATTATCATGGATTTAAGACCTTTTTTTTCTTAATTCTGCTTTTAAGTATTCATTTTTGCCTTGTCTAGAAATCCAAAGTTTCAGATGAGAAGAAGCTCTTGCAGCATCCACCAATTGAGCTTTTCAGTAAGGTACTATTAGACATTTACAATGGTCATAATAAGAACAAGGATAACTCATCATTCACTATATTAACCAAATCATTTTTCTTTTTTGTTTATCAGTTGACCCTCAATTCTGACATGGAAAACAGAGCAGCATCCCATCCAAAACCACATCCATTTGGAAATGTGAATTTAAACAAGTTTAGTCCCAAAAGGTGATGATTGGTGTTCAAGCACCCAATGGAGCGAGTGGCTCAATCATGAATGAACGACCCGGATTGGAACTATTGGTACAATGACGAAGCTAATCATTTTCCCTCATTTCGTACACTTGCGCATTATGAATCATAACCGTAACATGTTATACCGTCATTTACTACACAAAATAAATCATTAATCTTTGATAATTAAGGTCGTCCTAAATGGTAGTTAAGAGTGTTGAAACAGCCATGTGCAACAAAAAACAAAATTTTGGCTAATCTGAGGCAACAATCCAACTTACCAATTTAAAGTGTGTTTTTTGATATGGCTTCCCCGAATCTAACCACCCATTGTGCATCAGTGGAGTGGCCATCTTCCTGGTGGTTCTCCGGCTGCTGCCCCTTCTCCGCCAAGAGTTGCGCATAGCTGAATGTTTTTGGTTGTAGAGCCAAACATGGCTTTTTCGGAGGAGGTGGGAGGAAGGAGGTGAGAACCCTTGCAACTTCATGCATTGTTGGCCTCTCTGATGGGATTCGCTTTGTGCACAACAGTGCAAGTTGAAAGGTTTTGCTGACATGGGTTAAATCTGTGCACGTTACGGACACCTCAGAATCCACCTCATCCATCACTGTGTTGTCATCTGCCTTTGACATTATCTATAGAACACCAAAATAAGATGGTTATTCTTAAAATGCACAATGCCCGGAGATATCTATAAATATGGAAGAAAGGAGACAGATACCAGCTGGTGCAAGTTCAA